CCTGGGAACAGGGCGATGCTGCACACGGGAGAAAAGTCCGGCCCAGCCCCTGGAAACCTTTCACCAGCCAAAAATAGCAGCGCCAAGGAGATGCCGGCAAAGTTGGGTCTTGACATTGACTGATGCTCGCCAGTGCTGCGCTGCATCCGTCACGCGAACCGCCTGAAAAACACGGCCCGCTGCTGACTGTCCCACAGCCGCCTTCCTCCCCGCGGAAGCCGGGTATCTCGTGGAGACCTGCTTGGGAATCATGCCAGACAGATGTCACCTTCACACCAAGGGGCCCTGTTTACAGGTTTGGGGAGATGCAAACAGATTTTACGGGAATACTCTGACTTCAAAGGGGAAGACTGGGGGACAGCTGTCCCTAAAATCATGAATAACTTAATGAAAGTGAGTAGGGAAAACTTGATCAATGTGCTGGAAAATAGCTGGGCCATCAAGTGAAAATCTGCATGCAAACAGCTGTTGCTGTGGGCTGTTGCAGATGTTAAGGGTTACACACAAGTTCAAAAAGTGGACAATCCATCAGCAGACATTAAACATAAGGATCCATTGCTGGTTCAGGTGCCTTGCCCAGATGATCAGCTCTTAAACCATAGCCTGAACATGGTGAACAGAGAAATAAATAGAGCAAGTCTACAAGTGAAAACCTGGAAAACTTCAGGAATTATGCTTCCTAGGAATAAAGGGGCATATTTCTGCATGAAATATGCACTATAAAGCAGCCTCTACATAACTAGCAGAAAGCAGTGCTGGTCTTCCAATCCAACAGTGCAACCTGAAGGTCTCTAACAAGCAAAACCCCTTTGTTCTTCCTCAGCTCCTGATGCTAAAGCACAACTCTGCAGAACCTATGCATATTTGCATATTTGAAAAGGATATACACAATTATTAAAACTTTCTTTCAGTCATTGGCTCCTTTCCCCTGCTCCATGCAATGCAGCACTGCCAAGCCCAGGCAGAGTGTCAGTCCCATAAGCAAGGCCACGGCTGCCTGCTGGTCCCCATCAGCTGCAGAGTTAACCAGGGTCCGGTACACTGGGAATGAGTGCTGGAAAACAACCTGCCATCTTCAGCCTCAAACGAGTCCGAGAGAGATGAAACATGACAGACAACCTTTGCTGCTGCAGTACCTGACACAACAGGGGAGTGGAATACTTCAGGAAGTGCAAGAAACTCTAGCAACCCGACATGACTGGCATTCCTCTGGTTATTCCCAAATGGGAAGATGCTGCAGCTGAAGGGGTGCCTTCAGCACATACAGAGGTTACTCTGTGGCTGACATCCTGCTAGTGAGATTGGTGCCGGGAGCACAGACTTTGCCGTGCCTCACTATCATGGCACCATCACAATAATGGGCAATGCTGGGCCAAGCAGAAGTCCAGGCTGCCAAACCCTCACTGCTGCTTAGCTGGGCAGGATGAAAATTACCTTATGTCTATCTACAATGAGTGGCAATCATGCTTCTGACTGTAGCGTGAAAACAGGCCAAGAGAAATAAAACTAAACTCTCTTTATGAAACCATTGCTAATCACACCACTTAGCATGACTATACTGAAAGAGAGAGCAGCATGGAGCGCAGGGAAACAGCTTTGTAGGATGGTGAACAGATTCAGCTTTCCTTGGAAAAGATAACTGAACTTTATTTCATATGTTCCACCTTTTGAGAAAGTCCTTTTTTTTTGACCAAAACTTAGGAAACCACATGGCACTGCCATTTTACATGGCACCAGAGGCTGTGTCTGACATTACAGCTGGGTCTGGAAATTGAATTCATTTCCCCCCCACTCCGCCCCAAAACTCACAGAGCAGTCATCATTCACCATAACATGTCATCCCAACAAGCTGCAGGGCAGAGATACCTGACATTTGAACAAACTGTGGCAGCCAGTGAACAATGTCTAGGTAACCAGAACACCCTTCATCATGAATCTGATATGTTTAACAGCTAATTAAACCTGTGTAGGGATTAGGCTTTACATTGTACAGTTTTATGGCAACAAAACCTGAGCTTCCTAAGATTACACTGAGCAGCTCCTTATCTCTGATGCTGAGATGTTTATCAGCACCATATGTTACAAGCTCCTGCTCTGTTTCCCAATGACCTTCTGGGACTAAATCATCCCGAATGTCAGGGGTTGAGGAGCTGAGGACATATATTACAACACAGAATGCAACACTCAGCCAGGCAGGATAAAAATACAGGGCTGAAGTCCAAAGAAAAGGTCTTTGTTGGTTAACTTCTGTCCCTAATAAATTTGTCAATTAGAAAGAACAAACGTTAACTTTGTTTTCCTTGCCCTTGCTGTTGCTCTGTGAGGTCCCACACTGCGAGGTAACACAGGGTGTGTACTCAAGTATCAGTGATGAGGGGAAACCTCAGATGATTCATGGTTTGGGAATGTTTTGCATAAAAATAGCAAATTCCAGTTTTATATCTGGAGGCTATCCTTGCTACCCAGTTATGTTTTCCAGTCTTGGAACCATAAAAAGAGATGCCATGAAGAGGAAATTTTTGTCCCCAATGTCAGCAGCTCTGATGGTAGTGATTTTAGACACACACTGCTTTTAGAATTAATAAGCACTCTGTCCCAAAACTATCCAGGCATGGTCTTTTGGGATGACCACATCAGAAGACATGGAGTATCATCCTAACACTTTTTTTCTCATGTGAAATTCACTTGTTTGCAATTGGAGACACATTAATAAGAAAAGCTTAGGCAAGGACTGGATTTGCCAATACATTTCCATGCAAATGATGAGATACATTTTACAGTATCGCTTGCAGGAAAAAGGACCTACCTACTATTCTTGAACACCCCGGCATTCTTCATGTGGGCTGTGTTTACATTGATAAGGGCTGACATGAGCCATCTCCAAGCCTGAAACTGCCTATTTCTGGCATGGCTGTGCTTGATTCCCCACATCCTAACCCATCAGCAATTACTGCTCACTCTGGCAGTTCCCCTGAACAAGAGAAGTCAATCCCATCACTGTTTCTCCTCACTCCAACCCAGCTGCTCACAGTGATATGTTTGGATACATAATTTCATAAGTGTCCCTTCCATTTATTCTAGCTCACTGGGCTCAGGTCCAGGCTGAATTTCATGGATAAGGATGCTGATCCAAATGTTGACACTTTGCTGCATGGCTGCAGGATAGAGATAAAGCTGGGACTGGTTTGCAAGGCATTTGCAAATCTGTGCATTATATGTCTGTTGTTTCATTGAAAATATCCCTTTTGGAATTTAAAGCATCTCAAAGACAGATGTGGCATGACTAGGGTTTAGCTGAATGTGCTGTATTCAGAATACAACAAAAAGTCCAGGTGTTTTAAAGGATGTAATGGCCATGGTTCAAGAAAAGAATTGTGTTACTGGATGCCAAAGATATGAACACATTTATAGAACCTTTGCTTGCTTCTGACAGTGATTATATCGTTTGGGTTGATTTTTTTTTTTTTTTTTTTTTAGAAACTAATTTCCTTTCCTAAACCAGGTATGTGCTAGTTGCCACATTTTCCAGGCATATTTAAAACTATTTGGACCAAGAAGCGAGTTTAATTGGCCGACAAGGATTGTAAGTGTGAACTACATGGCCATGTCTTGAAACTTCTTAAGTCTGCATGGTGGGAGGCTGTTTCAAAGGTACTGTGAACACACAGGTATCTGACTGTGTGTATGTGGCACGTATCATGTGTTACACCAAGCTGGAGAGGGAAAAAACTACGAAATGAGATGTCTAAATTGAACATCCCAAACCTTGAGGAATGCAGGTCTAGGGCAAATGGATACCAATGGTACATCTTCATCTCCACCTCAGTGTCAGCACTCTCCAACACATGGCTCATCAAGGTCCTGCCAGTGTCAGTATTTCATGTCCATTGTGTAATAATATAGAGAAGAGCACTTGCATTAAAGACATTGAAAAATATTGCAGAGAGGGGATGTTAAAGGATGTAGCATTGTCTTTAAACCTACTCTGCTGGCTAGATTCTTGCCTGGGAAGCAAGGCAAATGTCAAATATATATGTGAAATCCTTCCTAGAAGCCCTTACGCATGATCTAGGAAGCCTCTTCCTTTTTTTTTCTGTCTGACCTCTCTGCTCCTGATTTCCTGGCTATAAAATGCTTTACATTTAGGAGGAGAAACATTTACAGCTTGACATCTCATAGCCTTGTACTGGGGTAAAGCACATAATGCGTAGAAAGCATTAGTCCCATGTTCAGCCTGAGAAGAATTTAGCAGCGAGATCTCTCACTTCCTAGACAAATGTTCTCACTGTGCAGAAGCCTGTCTCATTTCAAACTGCAATAAAGAGAGGCTGAATTAATCTGCAGTTTGTGCAGACAGTGCAACTTCCCCTGCACTGTTTTTTAGCATAAGCTGTTATGTCCCTAGCAGTGGACAGCCTTGCTCTCAGAATGAAGGCCTACACAGTGCAGAAGAGAAAGTCAAAAATTGTACAACAGACTGAAAAGCTAGGAGCTTTAAGAACAGATTTAAAATAAAGGAAGACTTCACTGCACAAGAGCAGGGACAACATTTAGTCTGTGAGAAGTGAGCTAGGAGAAACAAAAGTGGGAAAAGATGAATAAGGCTTTAAGGGAAAATGCCACTCCCCAGGCAAAAGCCACAATACAATTAGATCAACCGTCCTCAAAGGAACATAATAAACTCTTTCAGAGGAGATTCAGCTTGTACAAGCAGTCTCTTCCTCTGACCATTTCTCTAAAGGTATTTATTGCCAACTGTTAGAAATCACTGAAGTTTCTTTACTACACGTGCCTACATGTCTGTAGACTTGAAACAAGCAGTACTTTAGAATCTGCCCTGTCAACAGATAGGATATAACAAAAGAAAACAAACCTACTTGTAGCCCCCAGCTCTAAATTTCCAGTCCCTTTTAATAAAGTGAAAAGTTTTAGCTATTAAAAAAAATTTGTAACCTTTGCAATGCTACAGAACACAGATACAAAATGTGAATAGTAAAATATCTGTTATATAATATATATTTATATTTTAATATATTACATTTATTTCTACATAAAGAGGCTATAAATACTGTATATGCCTTATATTCATGGTTCCCAGCATTTGACATTATAGTAAGTACAAACAAAAAAAATACTTATAAAAATACAAAAAGAACTCAGTAGAAATAGCTTTACATTTTAAAATCTTGTAGTCCTCATTGTGTCTATCAATAGAGTTCTGGGACTACAAGAGCACAGGTAAGAAGTTGTCCAACAATTAGGCACAATTTCATCACTCGGAGAAGATCGGAGCTGCCATGAAACCAGTCACGGATTCCCAAGGCTACATAAACTGAGATCTCTGCCACTGCAAACAGACTTTGAGTTCTCGAAGTGAAAGAGTCAGACCTAAATCTGAGGGAGGGGGAATGAGATGAGAAGGTGGGATGCCCTCAGGACGCCCCACCAGAACCACGGTGCTTCCTGTGGTCCTAGGGTAAATGACATTGCCTTCTCTACCTGTTGCAGAGGCTGCCCAGGTGGTGATCTGAGGGGAGGGGAGTATTTTCTGCAGCAGTTTGAGGCAGCTCAGAGGCAGGGAGGCATGTGGCATGAGTGAGGGTGCTGGGGTGAAAGGGGAGCAGAGCCATCCTCAGAGGTCAGGCACGGCTCTGCTATTTGAGTCCTATCACTTGGCTCAGTGCTCTGCCTTCTCCCTGCTAACCAACTTCACTGAGAAAATGCAACTCATGAGGACGTGTACAGCAGCCTTTTTCCTCTGCCAAGGACAGAGACCATCACCCCCACCTATATTTAGCCCAGCCTATGTTTAGTCTCAGGCCGTCAGAGTGCCAGAGCCTTGAGCTGGAGGTTCCTTTTTTTGTTTGTGAAGGTACAAGCAAGGAATAACTCTGAGAAACAAGAAGCCAGTGCCGTGCTGTTTCCTTCCTGGAGTCCAGCCACAAGGGGAAAAACAAACAAAAAAAAGCCCCACAAAAGCAGGGATGTGCCATTATTTCGTACAAGTAGGAACAGTTAAGTCGAATGCCGTGATGCCGCCTGCATCGGGCGGACGCTCAACATCACCAGGCTCAGCCTCTGCCATGGGGCTGGGGCAGCCCACACACCACGGCCAGGGCTCTGCACCCTCAGAGGTGCAGTGTCTTTTGAGGAAAGAGCCCCAGCTTGTCTCTTGTCAGTGTCTCTTGAGGAAAGAGCCCCAGCCTGGCACAGCGCAGTTCTGCTGCCAGATGCTTCTGCGTCATCCTCAGGAAAAATAAGTGTCTTTTCTTAGTCCCATGGATGCCATCTCTCAATACATCAAACCTGAATACCACCAGCCCAGGCAATGAAGGCACATCCCAGGGGGGATGGAGCTGCCAGCTTCAACCTAGAGCGGCGCGGGGCTCTCGTAGGGGAGCCCATGGGCGCGGCAGAGCGGCGGCGAAGCCTCCTGGGCACACAAGAGTTCCGTTTCCTCGCTGGAGTAGATGGTGGTGTCCATGTCATCCGAGTGGTATCCTGACTGGTACCCACTTGTCTGGTTGGAGGCTTCAGACATGACAGACTCATTACTCTTGCTGGGCACCAGCGTGCTGCAAAAAACAATCAGAAACAGGGCTGAGAGAGCTGTGTCTTCTGCAGGGCAGGTGGGCAGCTCTGGATGGCAGCTGCTTTCCATCACAGCAACAGCCAAAGCAAAAGGCTGTTCTGAAACCTGGCTTCAAGCCTTTTTAAACATGCATTTGATTATAAGGAAAGACCTTTTCATACTCCCTAACTTCACTAACACATGAAAAAGATCTTTATTTTTTATAACGACACAAGGAGTTAGATTGCGACCACAGATGAAATGGAGAAAAAGCTTTTAGAGGCTTTACTTCAGCTGCAGTGCAATTGTAACTGCCGTATACCTTCATCTGCACTGAAGTTGTCCTGGAAAAAAATAATTCCTGAGAAGCTCTCAAAGAGCATACATGAGGTTTCAGCTCCATGAGTGCCACTGTGCTTCCTGTGAACTGCACAATGAAACCCCTGTACAATGCTCTGAAAATACACCCAAGTACATCCTGAAAACTTGAGTGCCAGCTATCAGGAAAAAAAAAAAGAAAAAGCAAGCAAAAAAACAAGAGCTGTTCATCAGTTCAGACAGGTCTCATGTGCCCAGCTGTGTGCACCAGCTCAGTACCTTTGAGGGCAGATTGATGCTACTGCAGCTAATAAATACAAGTCCTTTCTGGGTGCTGACTGAGGCTTCCGAAAGCTGCATTACCTCCCCTCTCCTAATACCAAATGCAGATGACCAGGCATATTGGGCACAATTTTGCTTTCTGTTTTTGAAAACACTTTCAGAAAAGATTTTTTCTTCCAAACAATTTTAGAAACATACTCTTACATACTGCAATAAAAGGTTATATTCAATTCTATGTGCAGTCCAAGCCTTACCTAAAGGGTATTTTCACTTGTTTTTCACTCTCTTCCAATGCCTTCAGCTCTTCAGATGCAAGAACCATCCCACTATCTGTCTGGTTTTCCTGCAAAGGTGTTGGAAATGCATTAAATGGAAAAAGATTAAAACAAAAACAAAAAAACCAAAACAAACAAACAAGCAAAAAAAAAGTATCAACAGAAAGAAAGTATGTATAAATAGACAAACTCACCTCCTGAACAACTTTTACAGTGGTTACCAATGGGACATCTTCAAATGTTTTCACGCTCGTGGGACGGCTTTTTCTCTTGCTACCTTGTCGGTACTGACTGCAAAGAAAACAAAACAAAACAAAAATTTGTGTCCGCTATCCACAACTTGGCTGCAAACAGCACAATGATATCAGAATCCTTTTATCTCCCTTCAGAGAAGCTAATCCTTTTATCAAAACATATTATGCAAACTTCAAAATATCTATTTATTGAAAGGGATGAACAGACTAGAGAGTGGCATATTTCTGACCTTTTGCTCCTGACAATATTGATCTCTGAGCAAATTCTAAGAAACGGCGTTGAGAAAACAGCTTCTTTCCTCATTTACACTGGAGGGCTTAACTTCCTGCAAGCTTTGCTTAGAACTATAATAAACAGAGAAGCCTGGAGCACAGACGTGTGTCTATTTCTTTGGACTGCACTTCTGAGACCCCTGGCTGGACCTAGGACAACAACAGCAGACTCAGCACACTGCTGCCCTTAAGCCGTGGGGATCAGGACAGGGAGTGCTAAATCTCTCTTGAAGGCTCTTCTCCAAAAGAAGCCCTCTGGTTCAGGATGGCATCCATTAAAAATATTGGACAAAAAAAATAAAATTAACTTCCATGGAGATACTAATACAGCAAACAAAACGACACCCTCAGCTTTCTGCCTCAGTGAAAATGGAATGAAATGGATGGTGTCTCAGTTAAACGGGGAAAATTAATGTTCTTAACAGCTAATGAAGGAAAAGCCATGGAGTTAGTAATCTGCATCTACTTGAAGTGCAAAGCTGGAGACAATGAAGAGCATCATTCCCCCCTTTTCTCAGCTTTGAGGCTAGTTATACTGAATCCTTCTTATTTCTAATAGACAATTATTTAAATTGGTGGGGATTTTAAAAGTTCCTTGAGTAGCCTGCTCAGGTACTCAATCACAATTCAGAATGTTTTTCAAATATGAAATATTTATTTTCAAATAAAATTTATCCTAATCCTGGGGACACTGAACAATTATTTAACACCCTCTTTGGAGCAAATTTTCATATACTGAAAACAGTTACTATATTCCCTCTCCATTTTCTCTTCCTAAACTTAACAAAACCAGTTCTTTCAAGCTCTCTGCGCTGGCCATGTCTCCTGCTCCTTTGCAGTGGTATCTAATCTATTTCCCATCCAACACTTCCAGGACCAAACCATCAAATGGACAATCTAAGCCATGCACGCTCCTAGACACCCTGATCTTGTACATCTAGAAGTTCATTCCACAACTTGCCTTCTGTGATTGGAAGCTCCCTGTGTGCCTGCATTAAATGCACACATAGGCACAGAACTGCATGGCCAGTTTTCCAGGGTGGTGAGGGCTGAGAAGCCCAGCCTCTTGATCTGAATGACATCCCAGGTATGGGAGACCCACCTCTGCTCAGCCCAGACAAGAGCCAGCCTACAAGGGTTGTTGTAGATGCATCAAAATGCATCTTCTCTGCTATCATCCAGGTCAATTATTCTCTCCAAAAATGAAGCTTAGGTTTTTGTGACTTGATTTGTTCTTGACAATTCCATGCTGGCCATTTGTAGTTAATTTGTTTTCCTGTAGGCATTTACCATTATTTATCTGAACATTTATTCCAGGATTGTTCCTAGAATTCAAATTAAACTGATTGCAGAATTACACTTTTTCTGTTCTTTCCAAGAGTAGGCATTATCTTTACACTTCACACTAACTCTTCTATACCTCACCTAACTGTTTTCAGTGACAATCTTTCAAGATTCAGAAATTGCATATCTCTTTTCTATGCCAAATATGGCAGATGTTAGGGGGTCCTGCTGATTTTAATTTATATCAACAATCTAAATATTCTTTAATATTCTTCATGTTTTCCCTGTGCTTGCTATCACTGTCTAGCTTTGATTTAGAGATGATATTTTTTCATAGTTAGTACTTTTGTGAAGACTGAAAAAGACATCTCTGAACAGATCAATCTTTTCCACTACCTGTATAGCAAGATCCATGCCTACAAAATAATTTTCAGCTACCAGAAGATAAGAATAAATCCCCTAAGCATGATTTAACCTCCTCACTTTGCCTCTCCTAGTATGCTTACCACAAGTGCTTTCACAATCCTGTCACAATATGAGATGAGAGAAAAGAGATTCAAAGTCTCCTTAAAAGGTTGACAGAGTGCTTTTACTTCTGTTCATAACAGGAAATGGGGACAAGAAAAGCCATATAGGAAGTATTAAAAGTGGAAAATAAGTATGATGTTTTCAGTGCTAAATCATGCTTTTTTGTCTTTTAAGCATGTATAGTTTGAACTGCTCCACTATTAAAACATGGGCTTGAGAGTTCAGCTGCAGGACCATAAGTTGAACTGAGGTGTGAAATGCATTGTGCCTATGTAGTCTTTTCTAGGACCACATAAAAATGTTACCCTGCTCTACCTCAAATCATTGGGAACTCCGTCTGGGGTGGTTGTCATACAAGCAGTGAGGCAGAGGGCTCTGCTTCATGGAAACCACATGAAACCTGTGAACAGAGTCCGTCTCCACCGTGGTGGTCGCGTTGCTCTTTGCACCCTCTTTCTTCTGAGATTGCATTGGACAAGCCAGGGCTCCCAGCATCTCAGTGGCTGCATTGGATGAGGAAATGCCTCTCTCTCTTACATCCCATGCCAGAGGTCCTCAGAGGATCCAACATAAGCCCCTGAAGTGCATTAGTGCAAGCTCCATACTGGAAAGTCACCTCTGCCATGATACCCAACAGCATCCACCATTGTGGATGCCCTACGAGCCCACCAGAGGAAGCAGTGGACAAAAAACAGTACAACACTATTTATGTCATGTTCCTCTTGGCTATCAATTAATGAGCTGTTTTCCAATGTTTCACTTACGGAGGAGAAATGCCAGAGAGGTTATTAATGATAGATCTATCATCATTAATGTTCTTGGCACCTGCAACACAAGAACACTGCAAACACAACTGAATTGGACCAGTAAAACCCTCTATATGTTCTGGTTCTTAAAAAAAACCACAGATATTTTTACAGGTTTTGCTTTTTTGTTTGTTTTTGAACAAGAATACCAAGTTCTTGAAAGGGTAGCAGTAATAAAAGTAAATAAGAAAATCACTAATTGGGAAGGTAAGAAACTAGCTTTTGCCTACAAAAGCTTTACAAATTCCTTCTTATCCCTATGGAGAAGGTTAAATATGGACCAGGCAGCTGAAGCCTCTTCCTTTCATTTTCCCTCCCCCCAGCATGAACAAAACCTTCCCAGAGGCCCCAGTAGGATGTCCACCATATAAAATACCTAATTCCTGCTGTGTTGTCATAATGGAATTTAGGATCACAGACTTCCTCTTCCTCCCTACAGGAAGCAGGTGAAGTTGGGAGAGAGAGACCCGAATCCTCTTCCATATTCAATGATACTGACAAAGGAAGGACAACGTAGTCTTTACCATCCTGTAGAATGCAGTGGAAAAACACAAAAATTAAATAGGCTACAGAGACACACAGACATAAACAGATACCTGCACGTACATGGAGAATGCATCAGCCCAACGGCGTGGGTGTTTTATTAAACTATGAACAGTATACTACCTTTGCAGGAGCAACTACATTAAAAGAAGGAAGATTGATAAGAACCACTTAAAAGTAGTTTTAATTTATTTAAATAATAGATTTTTATATTATATACTGTAACATAATGTATAAACCGGACTTTTCATTGATGTCTTTGAAAAAATAAAAGCAGATCTCATTAATATTTGAATCCCAATGCCACAAAGAAAATGATCCTGACAATTTAGAAGGGCACTGTAATTCCCATTATCACTGAGAGGTTAGAAAGGAGAGAGTCTGTCTAATATGGAGCACACAGCCAAATCCATCCTCCTTCATTCTGTGGGCTCACATCTATGGCCCTGGCCTTGTCCACTTCTGTCGTAACTGAAGAGGAAGCACAAGATGGAGAGCTTGGAAGGGAGGCCCATGTCCCCACCTGGCCACAGTGGGCTCTCTTACTGCAATGCCTGCACACAGGTCATGCCTTACTACATTCACTTGCATGGAGCTGCTCACAGGCAATGAAGTTCTGGTTCTGGTGTCCTTGTTTTCCAGGATAGCCATTAAAAGCATTGCAGCCCACACCCTCACATAGACAAGGATAACCATCTTTGGCACAGTAAGATCAACAGGAGCTACCTGCTGGAATGTGTCTGCAGCGCACAGAGAAATCAGCAGCAGAGCAGGGAACTGAGCCTGTGCCAACAACTCCCCAGCAAAGACAGCAGTAGTGTCACGGGAAGCTCTGCTGGCAGGGCAGAGCTTTTGGTTACCACAACACAGCTTCTGGGATCTTTGCACCACAAGTCACTCTCTACTAGTCAAAGACCCAACTGCTGGTCAGTAATGGGGGCAGCAGAAGAAGCCCAGGCTCCCCGGCAGCGCCAGCAGACAGTACCTAACTATGGAATGCTGTGGTGGCTGGCAGGACAGGACAGATTCAGCCAGTGGTTTTAGCAACCAGAGAATGCAGGTCACGTACCTGACGAACGTTGGCTTGCAGTAAATTCCCCAAGTGCTCCACCAGCTCTGAAAAAGTTGGTCGCTGCTTAGGATCTCCATGCCAGCAATCCAACATTGTTTGATACCTGGAATGACAAAACCAATTAAAATACCAGCATGAAGAAAACAGCACCTATTTCTTGCTCCTGCACCTGCTAGTAGTGTGGGGTAAATGTGGGCAGATGGAAGAAGAGTTTCTCACATTTCTGGTGTTGTATAGTCTGGTGCTCTCATTCTCGTTCCTTCTTTCAGTCTCCTGCAAAATTCCTCATCAATTTTCACTCCAGGGTATGGTGATGCTCCTAAAATTAAAGCAACAGTAATTTTAATGCATTAGACTCTTAAATTTTGGGATTCATTTTCAAGCAAATAACTTGCTATGGTTTGTGTTAATAAGACAGTTTGGTGTATTTGGATATGTATATAATTTTTATTTATGATGGAAACAGCAACTGACTGAGTAAATGAGGCACATCATCACATACTGAAATTGTATGAAGAAACATTTCAAGCTTATGTTCCTACATTTGCATTTTAAAGAAAATTTGAGTATTTTATTTTGATGGAGAAAATATACAGGAATTTTCCAAGAAGTAAAAAGAAAATGGTACAGAGGTTCCAAGAACATTTCAACTGCTTTCTTCAGACTCTTTTGTTTAGAGATGGCTCAGTAAAATTAAAGTGACTCACCTAATGAAAATATCTCCCACAGCAGAACTCCAAAGGACCACACATCACTCTGAATGGTATATACTCTATCAAAAATGGTTTCCGGTGCCATCCATTTTAGGGGTAGTCTGGCCTAAAAGCATTTTCATAAACAAAATGGTAACACAGTTTAGCAAAACACTTGGAGTTTCCAAAAATCTCTTTAAGGGAAAAAAGTAAAAAAGAAGTCCTGATTTCATATTAATTCTCTATCAAACAGATAATCTGAAACTTACATCTCCTTTCCTGACGTAATCTGGGTCTTTGTAGATGTCTCGAGCCAAGCCAAAATCACAGATTTTTACCACGTTATTGTCTGACAAGAGGATATTACGAGCAGCCAGGTCCCTGTGGATGCACTGCAAAGAGAAGTAAACAACTTCATGTGCTGCCTGTCGTCACAGCTCTGTCCACAGGGCTGATTTCTTTCACATATGTGCTCTCCTACCCTCAAAGGCCAGATAATTCTTAAAACCTTTTAAGAAAAAGAAACCTCAGCATCAACAGTTGCTGATTTTAAGTGCTTTTTTGATGGTCACAACTGATTTGGCTCAGGGAGAATTGTGTTCCCAAGTCCAAACATACGTCTGTTTATCCACTGTGCAGAGAGGGCCTTTGAAGTCAGCTAATTAATTATCCTAAGAAGCTAACACAAAACAGGTTCAGATCTGATTACCTTTAGATTTACTTAGGTTCACTCAAGTCTGTGTACTCCACCATTTCTCTGAAAAACACGACACTAAAATGCTGACTTGATTCCAACACAAACTAATCTTTACTACAGAGAAAGAAGTCCACATCTCTACCTATGCAGAACAGCAGCTTAGTTAACAACCCAAACACTTCAAAACTCAAGCCTCAATAGCCTGAAAAAAAAAAAAAAAACAGGCTCTGAAAGTGGCTTCAGATTTGCTTCTACTATGGATTGAAACTGCAGATTCTGGAAGCAGGTATTTTTACATTTGCACATCAATCGTGATGTATATGAGAGGCAGACAAAAGTATGTTTTTAGAAAAAGACTCTGAAGTCTGCTCTTGAATACCTAGCCTGCACTATAGCAGTGTTGTATTTCCTGCTTCTATTTTCTTTTCCCATTTCTAGGTGGTTTTTTTCTATACAGCTGCAGACAATTCCTCACTCTTACTGGAATTGTCATCCTTTGAAACACGTGCTCTACATATTTAGGCTCAAACCACAGAAAAATACTTCTAGAAGGAGAAAATGCAGGTGAGGTGCTGGTGACTGCCAGGTTGTCCTTGGCAAGAGATTCTCCAAGGAGTCATCCATGAAGTTTCATAGCTGAGTATTGTCTCTCCTCACACTGCCCTTCCAATCCCAGCGCACAATGTACAAGCAAACTCCTCAGAGCAAAATCCTTTACTCTTGTTTAGCTCCTGTTACCAGGGGTTTCTCCCTAATTCCTTTAGTTGTCCTTATAAGTCAGTCCCCCTCCTCTAACCACTTAACCATTCCTCTACGAACTGGTGGCCCACAAACCTCATACAGATCACTAACATTTGTGTCAATAAATGCATGGGCTGTTTCACTCTGTAGTATTAATGATCTGGGTATGTCTTAGAGCAAAAAGAAAATGTTGTGGATGACTGCCAGTCTAAAGATGAACATGCTGTTTCCTTCTGTAGACCTACAGCATTACTTCCTGCAGTCAAATAAATAACATGCCACTCTTCCTGAGAAGTTCCTTACTTTGCGTGAAGCCAAGAACTCCATTCCTCTTGCCACCTGGAAGCTATAACAGATGAGGTCCTCCATGGTCAAAGGGTTCTTGCAGAGGTCTTCAGGACCAGCTGCAAAGAATCAGATGACAGTCAAACATGCCCTTTGTCACTGATTTCACCAATAACTGCTTGTTAGGTAAAAGTCCATCCGAACCTTATGCCACACTGGACTGGAAGAGCAAATCAAGCACTTTTTTTTTAGCTATATAATTACCATTAACAACCCATTTTACATCAAACTGGTCTTGTGCAAAATAAACTTTGAGACAATGGGTTATACCCTAGGCCTCCTTGCTTATTTCCAGAGGAAAGATTTGTGAAACAATCCCGAAAGAAAAACAACTAAAATTCAACTCACAAATTCCTAGGACAGTAAAGCTTTCTCTGGGTTCAGCAGATGAATTTAGAAACCAAGGAGAGGGAGGCCCCACCTAGTCTTTATGAGGAAAGAATATGCCATAGGGAGATTTGGCAAGAAGCCCTGCTAATTTAATGTTGAAGAACCCTAACCTCATCATCTGGTGACCTGGAGGAATAATGTACTCAAATATCCAAAGATACCTAGGCATTTAGTTCCTGCTGAGATAAACAACTCTGTGACTTTGTTCAGCTTTTGATTTTAAACAATCATCTACCAAGAACTACAACACTGGTGGCTAAAACTTTCACCATAAGGGCTCCTTCAGGTCTACATACGTATTGTAATGGTCCAGCTCAGAGGGTCAATGTTTACACCAGGGAGTACTGGAAAGGGACCAAGATGGTGTGGAAATGCATGAAGTGCATGCCTGACATTACCTATTAGATTGGATTGAAACTGCAAGATCATTCTCCCTCTTCTCATAACTGATGTATTCTTGGCACTAAATGATTTTTAGCAGCAGTAGAGGTACAGGAAGTAGAGCTATGGCTTTCCTTCCAACTTGTCTGATCTCACCCCTAGGTGAAATTAGCAGCCTGTGAAATGGCAGCACTGAGCATTTTGTGCTGCATCTGCCAAAGGAGAACATGGCAAATGCATCAGTGAAACCACTGCAGAGGATATGTGCATCCTGGGGAGGCTTTGAATGAGTGGATAATTCAGGCTTCCTCTTCCTGACAGACCACCTGGGCAGAGGGAAGGCAAAGCAAGCTCTCTACTAATATCAGCGATTCAAATAGCACTTCACAGTATTTAACTTCCGGGTAGACATTAAGGAAATTCAGTTGGCATGCTGGTGCATCCCTCTCTGCACTGCCTTCAGAGTTTGTACTCTGCAATTTTCCCTGAAAATACTGAGGTATTAAATAGACATATCTCCAAAGCTTCACACTAAAAGCAGACCCTTTTCATACAGGACATTATCTGGGACTGGGCTAAGGGGTTTGGGATGCTGATCTAGATAATCCATTCTCGGGAACTTGGGTCATCCAGAGAACACCCCACACACAGTTTTGAGGGAGCTTCGGAAATCACACAGTCCCCAGTGTCCCTCATCAGCCCCACCCATGACACATGCTCCAACACCAGAAGAAGATGTGTCCTACCTTCCTCCTCTTCCACATCACTCAGGGACCGCTCCTCCACAAAGCCAGAGCTTGCTGAGCTCTGGCTGCTCGTGATGCTGTCCAGCCGTTGCTTCAGGTCAGAAGAGACATCACCAACGTAGTTCTCCTTCCCCTGCCTAAACCTGGCACATTTGGTCTAGAAATATGAGAGAAGGGTGAGAAAAATCAGAAGCTGAAAGCATGCCAGAAGCTTCTGCTGGAGAGGCAGTGACGCTGCCTATGGTCTCTGCCAAGGTCACAGACAGGGAGGGCAGGGAGAGCAATCCAGTGAAGGCATGATCAGCTGCTCTGCTCCAAGCCAGCTCTGGCTGGGGCACCGGGCCGGTGCACTGACAGTACCAGCAAAACCCAACCCACGGCCATGCAGGCTCACCAGCTTGGAGCACTGTCTGCCAGTCCACAGCACAACTTTCTCCTGCTTTCACAACCTCCCAGCCAAACCCCAGCAGCATCTCCACATGCAGGTGACTGAATGCACACTGAGGAGCTGGTGTCCTCACCCCTGGTGTCCTCAGCCCCTAGTGCCCCCCACTTGTGAAACACCTGTGGATGGATGCTGCCAAACCCTCTCGTACACTCCAGCCTCTCTGTACTGCTATGGCTTCACCTGCTGCTGCTGCAAAGGCCCTTCTGCTAAACCTCCACCTTGGCCAAAACCCTAACTGCCATCAAAATCTGACTTATTTCCTTCTTCCCCTAAGCCACTGCAAGTCTCTAGGGAGGAATCCAGCCCCACAGGTATCCTCCAAAACATTTCCATTTTCTCCTGCTTTGGTTTGGTAATGTTTTCCTTGGCAGGGCTGATTTTTAATACGGCCAAATCACATTCCCACTGCTTATGTAAGCAAGGGTCAGCACTCTCATGAAACCCTGTCTCTTACTTCAAGGCCTCTCAGATACTTGTTTATCTTTTTACCTCACAAGAAGATGCAGCGAGTTGCCTTTGCCAATACAAAATAGTAAACAATGCCTCCAAGGATAAAGAAAAATAACCCCCTGGAGAGCCAACAAGCAGTGGGAAGAGGCACTGATCTAAACACAGCCGCTGCAGGAAGGCTCAAGCCTACCAACACGGCAGAGTACAGCCCAGGCGCCTCCCTCTTGGCTGTGGAAAAGGGTAGGGTCCCCAGGGTGACCCTGAGTGCTGGGTACACACAGCCAAGTTCTCCATACAGCAATGTGACCCTCGGAGAGCATGGATCCTCCAGATGGATGCTCTCCATAAATAAGACTTCTCTCAGAGGTGCCCAGAGTTTGAAAATGCCAGTCCCCATCTTCCCACTTCTTTCAAATCAGGGTGCAGAAGGGGTGCTGTAATGGAGCTCCTTTTTGCAAAGGACTCAGGAGGTGAAAAACTGGATGCAAACTCATGAGCTACATCAATCATACAAAACTATTAACAGCAGAAGAAATGTGTAGCCTTGTTCAGCAATGAGCCAAGGGGGCAGTAGAACAGATAATCATGTGACAGCAGATACCTATGGATATCTGATGGATATATACACTAAGCAAGGAGTGCAGTTATTTAAGGTGGTCTGGAGCTTAACTAAGAAAGGAAAAAAATTCAGGCTGATAATCAGAAAAAACTTCCTGAAAGATACAGCCAAGTGTAGAGTAGTCTGCCAAAGGAAATAGTGGAAGCCCAGTTCCTTTGCACATTTTAAGCTAACAATAACAAAACAGCTACATTGCAGGGGCCAGGGGAAAGACTAAATGACCTCTGATGTCTTTGCCATCTCTCATTCCCATGAGAAGTACTAAGACATTCAGGGTCCCCAAGGATTGCTGCTTCAGTCTGCACTAGAAAAAGAAACATTGTGTATGGAAAAAACCCACCAAACCAAACATTTCACTGTTAACCTTGACTCCTTACCTTGTACGGGATAAATTCACTCCTCTTGCTCCGTAGGTAAGCTGACAGATTTCCAAACTTGCAATATTCCACAATCACCATGAGTGGCCCTGTACAACACATAAAGCAATTCATTAGACCATTTATATCCCACCTTACCTCACAGCATAAATTCTGGCTAGAAATACATATGGTTCAAAGAGCATTTCAATAGCCAAAGGTTTTTAAAAATATAAGTAATTTAAAAAAAAATCTAATCAAAGCACCAAAATTATTAAATTTTCTGCTGTTTAAAGGAAGAAAACAAAGCACATAATTTTGAAAATCATGGGCTTAATTTCATATGTCAGAAAGTATAATGGTGTGCTTATATTTGAAGTGCCAATAACAGCCGAATTAATTGACATTGTAAGGATGCAATGTAAATATTTGAAAGAGCTTCAGTGCAACTAACCTCTACAATAAAACACACGTGATTATCCATGCCTTTTTCTACAGGTGATTAGAGTACTAAAAATTTAAAACAGGAAACTTGGTTTCAGACCTAGATGCCTTAATGTCCAATCTAAATATGGTATTTCATGTTCAAATTTACTTCATATAGGCATTTGCTATGGTGATAAATTTTCATCCTAGGTTCCACACACTGGCCATCTCTATTTTATTATGAAATAAACAAGGAAATAAATATTTATGGATTAGGTTTCCTTCAACTACTGACTTCTGTCATGGAACTTTACAAATTAAATTTTCATCCCACGGTAAGCCAACAAGTCAGCTTCCCTGAAACATTATTACTGAGTTACTTTACATTGAATTTCTTCCAAATTAGTTTGTAGTACTGGATTTGCTAAACAAAACATCTGTCTCTGATTATAAAGTGAAATAGATTCATCCAGCCAGAGCTGGACTCCAAATTGCAATCTCCCCTCCTACACACACACACGTAGGCACCAACAGCCCATCCAAAGACAGAGAGGGGAAATCCCAGCTCGCAGTCACCCTGTAGCTGGTGACAAGAGTAAGAGTAGCTTGTTAAATCTGGCCTTAGACTTGCTTGGAAGTCTGTTACACATGGGCTGCCCACTATGAACGTGGCTCTCAGGTACAGGAAAGCAAAGTGATAGAACAACTAAGGGATGGAGCTGCATGGCCCTTAGTTCACCCTTACTTCCACCTCTATTCCACCTCTGGACCTGCTCACTCTGATGAGATTTTTTTTTGTTTTGTGTGTGATAGAAAGAACTACTCTTTCCAATCCTTAATTCTGAATTTCAATTGTCTATGCAGCAGAAATGGATGTAATAGGGTTTTTATCAGCACCTTCTCACCCACTAAGAAGTTACTCACCTCCTGGCTTTGTGCAGGCTCCAAGTAAATTGACAACATTGAGATGATGGCCAATATGAATGAGTATCTTCAGCTCTGACATAAGTGCTCTGTGCTCACTATGGGTTGCCCCTTCTGCAGAGGTAAAGCAACACAGGTCAGGAGCATCACAGACAGAAAGGTTTTGCCCTGCTCCCCATTCTCTTCTGGTACTTAACCAGCCCATCAAGTGAGGAGCCTTGTTGGCTGGTAGGCTGTGTCAGCTATGCCAGTACAGCACGGGGTGGAATACAGCCCCCAGCTGCTGGCAGCCCCATTTGGCTGCCCCACTATGTCTTCTTTAAGAACAATGTGTCTGGGAACCACACATTTAATTTTTCCTGTGGCAAGTGTGAGGCAGTATAATATGATTTAAAGTGAGGAGAAAGCTATTCCAAATTGCAACTCAGTTTGGAGCGTGCCTAAGCCATTGTCTTGAGACTTGCAGAAAGCTTCCAACAAGGATGCATAAGGGACACGTGCAAATTGATTGCAGGAGCAACTTTAAATTCTGAACGTAAGTAGAATTATAAACCAGTGGATAGGAAAGCACAGCTGCATTGTTCCAGTTATCAATGAGGGAAAGGCATGTACTTTTGCTAATCATTTCTTCATGATAACAGCCATTAAGCTTAACTTTTACAATGATGGGTACAATGGTTATAGTGTTGACAAATATCCCTGTATTGTATATTCAAGTTGAAGTTCTAGTCATTATTTTTACCTTTCAGCATTTTCACTGCCACTGTTTTGCAGGTAGCAGTTTTGTCAATCCCAAATGCATCTGCTTCTATGACCTGGCCAAAAGCTCCACGTCCAAGAGGTTTACCTTGAAGTGAGAACACAAACATATTCATTTGACACAGCAGGAAAAAGTTGTAGAATAAAAAAGCTACTCCAAAATGAGTTCATGAAGCAGAAATTAACAAGAGGACTTAAAATGTGGATAGGATGCATCATATCCAGTGGGAACACAGAGCCCACCCAGGGATCATGCAGCAGAGCAGTCCTGTGGCAAGCCAGGACCAGAAATATCCCCCAGCACAGTGCTGGCTGCAGTATCACTAAATGGCTCATGCAATGAAAACTCACCTAGCTTTAGCCGGTCTCTGGGAAACTCCCACTTGCTGGCATCATATGGGAGCCGCTCACAGTGTTCATCTATAGGGACTTCATCAGGATCCATGATGATTGACAAGTAGCCAGTCTTCATGTCCCCTCCGTTGGCCTGGAAAATGGTATTAGTTGCAGTTGCACAGTTTGTTGCTGGCAATGTGCAGGCAAAATGCCATTTTCTCACTCTAGAGTATTTCATTAGTTCCCAGAAATGCCAGGCTACCATTTCGCTACACCATGTCATCATGAGTGTGATCATTGTTAATTACTTGCCCTTTTTTTTTTTTTTTTAATAAACAGAACCAGATGAAACATTTTTCTCTTGCAAGGGCCTGTTCAATTAAAAACAAATTTCTGCGCCCCCGGTTCCAGGCAAGAATGTTATGGCATGGAGAGAAAAAAATGTGTCTGTTGATTTAAGAACAATGGAAAGAAGCAACACAAAAGGCCTCAAGTCAGCTCTCATTTGTCATGCAAGACCAGTGCTGATAGGATGGTATGAGAATTTTTTCATTACCCGCTTAACGGTCCGGAGGATGATTACAAGAAGCAACCAGAAGAACATGGCAATCACTGCAGTGCCAACGAGGATAATGAGCTCCAGATTTGTTTTCTCTTCAGCGCCTGGGAAGAAATAAATGAATATTTGAGTGATAGTTGGAAGCATATTTGTTTTGTTCATTCATTAAAGTAAAGAATGGAGGTCCTTGTTCTGAAGGTTCGTTTTAAAAGTGCAACATGGAGCAAGGAAACGAAAGCAAAACAAAACAAAAAGCTTGGGGGTTAATGTTGGAATATTACAGTTTCATGCTGTTTTACACACCATCACATCTCCCAGCATCAACTTTGTTCCAAAGACAGTGTCTGGACCTTTGCCAAATATAAAAAAGTAAAATCCACATTTTGGAAAAAAAAAAAAATTGCTTTAGAATACCAAAAAGTAATTACTCTTTCTTTAGAAAATGAAAAAACACCCTCATCATATAGAAAATAAAGAGCTGTGAGAATGACCTAGAGAACAATCTCTCTCTTGTCTCTTGACATCATTTAGCTGGGGCATGAAAAATGTGGTTCTACAAGAACACATGATAATAAGGTCTTATTTACAATGTTCCTTTTCCCGTAGAAGAGTGGCCAGCAGATAGCATTTGACCACCTTTTAGTGCACCCACGCAGGTCTCCTCTTCAGCCCCTGTCTGCCACATCATGCTCCTGTATTTCATCCCTTGCACCACTGAGATCTTCCTACACAGCAGCACACTCCATTGCATGACCCCCACGAGCTGCACTATACATTTTCTACAGTGAGTGAAACAGCATGTCCTACACAAATTTCAAACTTCTACAGATGTGCCCCAGCTATATTTACCACATCAGCTGAAATCAACATCAACATCATCTGCAGGCAGGTTCCCCCCCATGCAAACATTTTGCCCAACATCTAAATATCCTAAAGAGACCTATAAGAATAACATGATATTGCTTTAATTACCTTAATGGTATGGATCAGACAACCACCCTGACCTTTAAAGACAGAGGTGTGTGAAGGGCTCAGTGACCAAAGTATGCAAATGTACTAATGAACAAATGAATGAACTAATATCAAGAGCAAGGAGCTTTTCATTTGAGGCTTCTTGTTGCAACCCTTAGTGGAAAGTCCATCGTGGTCCCAGCTACCCACACTGCAGGCTAACTTCTTGCTACCATTTATTTTTTGTCATTGCAATTTGTATTTTGGTGTGCCACATTAGGACTGGAACAAGTGAGAGATGGGTATCACAAATGCTGCTTTCAGAGTGCGATGGAGCAAGGCTGGAGTCCCCTAACTCAAAATCACTACCTGTTTCACTGAAATGGGACAGCAATCACAATAGACTGCAAAAAGTCTTCACTATGTTTTCCTTAGATGCTGTGAAAGCAATTACATAATTTTAAAAGGTACAAGATACTATGCTAAAAAACACAGTATGACAATTATGTTACCTAGACAACAGAGATGCCCCAGGATATCTGCACGTTTATGTAGCTCTGTTATATGGGTTTGCATGTAATATAGATTTGCAGAGTTTTCTTTGCAACCACAAGTAAGGTAGATCCAGTTTTTGTTGAAAAGCTCTTAGCAGCATAGTGAAGAGAAAAGCACCAACCTCAACAGGTATGACAGCACCCAATTTCAGCTTGATAGAAATGGTCAGGACTTTTCACAAATTTAACAGTATATGTTCAGATCTCCCATCAGGATAGCCAGTAGATTTCCTTCTAGTTATTCTAAAGATTTTATGCACAATCTGGAAAGAAGCTAACACCAACCTTCCACTGAAAAAAAAGCCACTGCTTTGCTGCATCCGAGGACATTGCACGCAAGGCAGGTGTACAGCCCTCCATCTTCTTTCCTCACTCGACGGATGGTTAGTGTTTTGTTTCCATCTTTCAAAACAATACCTGGGAAAAAATATGATTCTTAGTTTTGCTGTTTTTATGCCACTTTTTGTTAAGAATTCAAAATGAAAATCAGCAGTCAGTCGCACAAAAGAAAGCCTTTTAATGATAATAGTAAATGAGCAATCCTCACCTGAATCTTCCACAAGTGTCTCATTATTTTTAAACCACATGATGCTTGGAGGAGGAATGCCATTCACTGCACATGACACTTCTATAGTTTCACCAATATTTGTTGTTTGATTTTCCAGATTTCCAACAAGTGTGGGTGCCATGGGCTCTGTTGGTTTGAAAATACAGTAAAATTACTGTTTATTAAAAAAAAAAATCCATGTCTTTCAGTAGTAGGAGTTCATGTCCCAGTAACAAAGTCTCAAATCCTTTTATTACACCCAGAGCCACAGTGTTCATGTTAAGATCATAGCTCAACTTCCACATGACATGAAAAAATTGTAATAGCCAAGAAAATTTCAACAGTATTGCTATAACATGCTTTAGCTCATTTAATTTGTAACCGCTCAGGCTGCTGAGGGAAGAGGGAGTAGTTGAGAAATTGCTTCCCTCACATTTCTGTATCCAGAGTCTTTCTATGAGACGTTTGACACTCTTGGTCCATTAAATGTCCATTCAGGACAGGCCACGAACATGCATAAGTATTTTCCTGAATCTGCCTAACCAACCTAGACATCTAGGTCCCAAAGCAAAGTCACCACTATTTGTGTGGAAAGCTGACTGATTGTCAGCTTGCATTGGCTGTGCTGAGTACCAGTGTCACTCATGGCAGTTTTAAATTACAGGCACTACTCCAAACTCGAGAGCCAGTCACACAGAGCAATGGCATTAACGCTATGAGTACACACGTGTCTATACAGCTACAGAGAAAAATGTGTTCTGAAAAGTAAAGCTGAGAAGTTACTGAGCTAAACACATTACTTCAGCCGAAGCCAAACACATTTCCTTGCGCAGTGCAGTGGCTCAGTCAGTGTTTCCTCACTGGTATTAATGAAACAGTGCCTGCTGCCTGGACAAACCCCAGAGGAGTGTGTTACAACAACTGGTTTAAATCTATTTAACAAACTGAGCACACCATTAACCAAACACATGCAAAGCCTGAACGTACCAAAAACTGACACTACTGCAATTGCTTTCGTACACAGCCACTCATTTTGCTTCAGAGTAAGAGATCCATACCTTGAACAGTGAGGTGCTTCACCAGGCAGTGCTGTGTTTTAGCCTTTTTGTCCTGAGCAATGCAAACATAGTCCCCTCCATCTTGGAGGGAGATGTTACGAAGGATGAGCTCTAAGGTGACGTTTTCACCATTGGTATTTGAAACTGTCCCATTCAGCTTCTGGAGAGCATTGAGGTTCTTGCAAACAGGCATGGGCAGCCCTCCGAAGGGAGTCTGTGAAACGTGAGCACTGAGCTTGTACCATGACAGCTTCTCAAAGGTGAACTTGTCTGCTGTGCATTGCAAGGACATGTTATCCTTCTCTGTCAGCTGATTCTGGGGCTGGACATTAATTTCAAGACCCCCTGCAAGTTAAAAAAGTAAAATAAATTCCTATTTAATTGTGCATTTTGTGGCTAACATTAACTTGAAAAAGTCATTTTGGAAATACAGATTTTTTTATCCTATCTAGTTGAAAATAAGGAAAGGAAACAAAGACTGAAATTAAAAAAAGAAACAAAGACTGACAGTCAGTCAACTAATCAATTATCTATGGAGTACAATCTCATTAAAAGTGATACATTTCAAATGAATCAAATGAAGGACTGTGTAATGAATTCAGTCACTCTTCCTGTAGAAACTTACAGCAACCTAAGATGATTCTCAGGACTACCTTATAGCTAATTTTAGATTTTGATTAAAATAAAATTTTGGCACATGAATATGGGGACTGATTGTTAAGGAGACAGAAGCTCTTCGCCACTTGTTTGGAAAATTTTAACCTTAGCTCTTACAGTAAATCTTTATGAATTTTGTGACACTACCATAATTTCTCTGGTGTGCTTTTAAGTGACTGCTAAAGCTCAACAGTAGTCATTTTTGGGACAACATCTTGCATCACTTTCACTGGCCTGGCTCTCCACTGATTCTGGTACAACTAATCACCTGCCAGAAATTAGTGGCAACTTTAAAGGCTGCCTAAAGAAAACCTTAAGTAAACCTAACATCTGAAAGAATTAAAGGATTTCATAAAGGTCAGGAATCAGGTAACATCACTGAAGTGCCTTTCATCAGCAAACAGACAAAATGAAATTAATTTAACATGGCTGTCCTTGGCAGGGGACACTTACTGGTCACATGGAAGGAGATCACTCTCTCGCTTGACCCAGCCCTGTTCGTGACCATACATCTGTACAAAGCAGATACATTTGCTGCCTGAATCACGAGGGTGCTCACAGTCTACAAAAGAACAATCAAGCAATTTTATACCACATCAGTGCTAAAGTAATGCCCAACCACCTCAACAGATCAGCAAAGGGCTCTGCAGATATCTGCACAACCAAAAATCCCTCCAAAGCACAAATCCATGCATGGCAGAAGCACAGTTCCCTTCTGAAGTTTACATTTTTGTCCCTAAGTGTGTAAAAATCAGGTGAAAGAAAAACGGAAGAAGCAGAAGGTGGACTTTGGTATATGTATTAAAACATATTGCAGCCACAATTTCTTCTGCTTTTCAGTCTCTCCAACTTCTGTTACAGTCAGTTTGCAAGATTAACTCATGTAACTTTAGACCACTAAAAGGCAGTTAGTGAAATCTAAGTCAGTTATATTCCGCAGTGGAGATTCACTTCTGAACAGTGTTCAAAGGACCTGAAAGTGTCTCTGCCTCTTGGCTTCAGCAGGAGCTTGCTCATCTAGCTGAGAGTAGATCCCCAAGTTTAACAACAGGTGAAAAGAGCTTCATCTCCAGTGATGTATTTCCAGACACATGGACTGCTGAAATGGGTTAATCATTCCCAGCCAAGATAAAAGAAAATGTGCTCACCTTTGTTTTCCCAGCAATAGTAACGACCCGGTGCTTAATTTCAACCTGATTTCCACCCCTTCTCTCTGAGATCGCTTTCCATTTCTTGCATGCATATGGATTGGCTCCCGAGCGAACTTTCCTGAAATGTAAATAGAGACACGTGCATTAGATAAGAGGAATATTTGCCCTTCAAGAGAAGTATTTTGGGTTCTACTTATAATATTAACATATTTATAAGTCAGATGCATCACTGGCCACAACTTGTATCTATGAGAGAAGTGTATGCTTCTGGAAATATTTCTATTAAATTTCACCCTATAACCTCCTGAGACCTTCATGCTCTTTAAAGTAAAGGACCCCCAAGCGTAAAGGTGAATTTCCTAATTAATCTGCCTGTGTCAGCTCAGTTGGGATGGCTGGAGCAAAGCAGCTATTCTGGGAACAAACCACCATTCATAAGTGGATGATTCAAGTTGATTTAGTTCAAAGGAAGACAGAGAGACATAAAAATCGCTGAACTCCCTACAAGAATTTCTTGAGGACAGTAGCCATTGTGTAGGAAGCAACCAGGCACCAAAGGAAGAAACTAGTAGAATCATTTTAAAAACAACAACAGGAAAGAAGAATGCCTTTTTTTTTTTTTTTACCCTGGACTTTTTTTTTGTTAAAGGAAATCTGGGCTTATGGCAAGTCCAGATAAGGGAAGCTGCGTGAATCTCAGTCAGGCACTCTCTCTATCATTCCCCAACATCAATCAGTGCACTTCCTCTGAGATACACTTTCACACAGATAAAGAGCCCCATCACACTCAGCACTTGAGCACAAGGGAAAAAAACACCACAAGGATGCATCATTAGCATAAACAGCAAATTTCCTGTGTTTGGGATGGAGTTTTGGGCCGGCAGCCCACAGGGGGATCTGAGACAAGGGCAGGCAAACAGCTGCATTTGAGACCCCGTGCAAGTCGAGATGCCCTTCAAGAGAGCACAACAGCAACATGCCAGCACTGCTGGATCCTCTCTGCGGGTGGCCCTCACCTCTGCCAACAACAACGACCTTGGCAGAGCCTGCCCGCAGCAATCTGCAAACTAATTACAACAATCTTTTTCTTCGTTGGCCATTGGGTTTGCACTCAGTAACGAGCCTGGATGAGGGAGGCACCGGACAAACCCCAACCCAACACAAATATCCCTCAAGACCTACATAAGCTGCAGAAGACAGGAAGGACTTGTCACTCACTGGGGGCTGAAAGTGCACTCCTCCTCCAGCTGCCAGTGCCAGAGCACGGTGGCGGGCGGTGGCACGGCGTAGACGGTGCAGGTGAGCACTTGGGTCGAGCCGTACTTGTAGGAATCCACGGGGGCCATCAGAGCATTCTCACCAATCTGGGGGGGCACTGCAGGAGAGAGAGCAGGTCACACCTCCTGCTGAAGGCTCCAGTGTGCATGCATTAGACCCACGGTGACCAATTCACACCATGCCCCAATACGAGTGCAACAGAACATCTCCAAGGATATGTGGGGAAGCAGTGAACCTGCCCAACACATTCAGGATCAAGATACTTAGGATCTCCTACAAAATCCCCCTTCAATACTCCATGGTTTAAAATGCAGTTCCTGGATTCTCACCACCATTCCCAGCCATTAAATGCACATTATTCCCCAGGCCTGATCCCACTGCACGTAGCCTTGCTGCCCTTTCCAAGACCTGCTGTCTTCAAAGCATAGGCTGTTTCCCGGGGAGCAGAAAGGAGGAGGTAGGGGAGGAGGAGGAAGGTTGTAGAGGGCAGGGCAGAAGAGGAGGGATAGCCTGTGTGGGGCAGGAAGGATGGGTGAGGCGGGACAGGGCCAGGATGGAGCGGGGTGGAGGAGGACTCCAGCAGCATAGCCAGCAAGAACGGCGGGAAAAGAGCAGGACATAGAGGCAAAGAATAATATACAGAAAAAAACCCCAAAACAAAACAAAAAACCCCACCCCACACAAAGTATCATTACAACACCAACACCCAGAGTCTGCAGCCTCTTGACTGACACATCCTAGAGCCAGGAGAGACAGGTCACCTCTGCCCTCCCAGGACTGAGGCTCAAGGACTGTTCTTCTTCACTACTTAAATCTTCATAGGTAGGGGGTGAATTAAGACTAAGGATGGTAATATACCACATCCACACATGAAAGAAAGGCACCTCTGTTACCCCACTTACCATTTACCAGCAGGGTAAATGTATGTCTTTTCTGCATCTTGTTAATGGGGTTTGTAAGGACAACCGTGTAATTCCCTGCGTCCTTTTCAGTTGCTTCAGTGATCACTAATGCGTAGCCAAGTTTAACTGTGTGATTTGCATTGATGGCTTTTCCATTTTTATACCTGAAGAAAATAAAGAGCGCTTTGAGTATTTAACGATTTGCTTTAACTAAGAATAGCTCATTTTTTTCAAACACATTATATCCCAGCTCTTACCATTTAACCTCTGGTGGAGGATATCCTTTAAACTTGACAGGAATTTTGACTGTGTCGCCTAGCCTTGTCTCAACAACATTCTCCATTTTCTCCAGGTGAATAAAAGGACTTTCTGAGGGGGAAAAAAGGAAGTAAACTAAATGGTGTTTTCTCATAGACCAAAGCAAAAGTGCTTTCCATTTGGGTTAGCACCTAACAAGATGACAAATAGTAGTTAGTGACAGGACTGTGGGTCATTGGTAAAGCACAGCTGGCACCAAACTGGGCTCTGGAGAGATGCCACCATGAAAGCCTAGTCCTTTCCTTCACACAGAGGAACAGACCAGTTCCCTCACTGGGGAGCTCTGGACAAGACTCAGCTCTCAGGATAGTGTGCCAACTGTCAGACGTGTGTATACATATACATATCATAAAACTCTCTCAGTACACTTATTCCAGGAAATTAGACTATTCAAAACTGCAGTGTGATAAAGTTAAATACTCATGTATGTATTTCAACCACTGCAGTCACAGAGTACCTTGAAATTATTTACATTACTTGTTGTAAGTTATAAACTCACATTCGGACAGAAGACAGCGATTAGCCTTTTGACTAAATCAGCCTTTTCACTAAGATTTATGATGGTTTAGACTTAGTATCTGGTATATTCAGTATAGTACATGATCTCATTTTGGCTCCTGAAGAGCAGAACAGAAGGAACCCAGGAGAAAATTCAGTATATCTTGAATCACGATGCCCACAATAAGTTTGAAAGTCTTTTGTTTTGTTTTAAAAGTGCCATGAATATTCTGGCCCCTGAAATCAGACCTCAGGAAAATCAGTCTCCTTCAAAATATAAACCTCTTTGTCTGACTCATGGATTAAAAATGAACCATTCTCATGCTGGTAATTTTTTTCTATAAGTAAGTTAGTGGAGCTGGGGCTGTGCCCAAGTGGGGGTTGAGAAAAGGCTGTAGGATGTGGCCTCGTGCTTATCTATTCACTTAGCCAAAGCTGTTTCCCTTGCATCATTTCCGTACCACCAAAACTCCATTTGATTCATCTATTCATAATGCAAAATCAAAGTTTTATTTTCTTAGCTTCATTCATGCTGACCCAGACTCTTGTGTCACAGAGCCACCCAGATCTAGCCTAAGCTCACCAAGAGTGAGAACAGGCAGCCCTTGTACAAAGCCACCTACACAAACTGAGTTTTACAGGACCTTAAGGAGGTCAATGCAGAAGAGGATCAGAGGCTGCATCTAGTTTATTTTACTGCCCACGTTCCGGTGGGATTCTACAGCTTTCAGGAAAATACAGCATCCTTTAAAATCTTATTATTAACTAAGGCTGTGGCATAAAAATAATCCCATACTAGTTGCAAGAGAAATACTGTAGCTGCAGTTTGGTTAATTTCTGTCATTTGATTCATCATCAAGATGCCTTCTGCATCCCAGTAATTAATCCCAAATCTGAAACAATCAACAAAACTGAAGGGGACCATGTCATACCGTGGATAACGAAGTAACTGCTGTTTTTCATGTTCATACGACCACTGGATGCTGCACAAGTATATCGACCATTGTCACTTAAGGACACACTGTCAATGGTAAGGGTGCTCACAAACTTCTTTATTTCTCCTGCAGTGGTTTTTACATCCCTAATAGTGGCACGTTTTTCCTGCAATAGACAAAAGACAGAGATTATTGGAAATGTCATTGTTATTCCTTCTGTCACCCTTTGCACACTTGTATATACCAGAAATTTTGCTGTGTATTATCATCTTCTTTCTCAGTGTTTTAAAAGGGGAAGTAAAATTGACTAAATAAGTCAAATTGCTTTGTGATGAAGGCACCTGTAAGTTAGTACAACATTACCTTGATGGAAGGGTAGTCCCATTTAAAATCAATTCCCACATTCAGCTCTGTCCTTACAGTGCAATTGAGAACAAGTTTTTCTCCCACTGCCAGCTCTACTTCATTGTGTGGGTTCATTGTCAGGTCGTAAATTCGGTACCCTAGAGAAAGACAAAGGCACACACGAAACATGGGGGTAAGCAAAATTCCCAGGTGAATTCACCACAACTCCCACCAAAACCCCAGCTACAAAAAAGGCCCTTGATGCCCCAGTGCAGCACAATAATGGGTGTACAAAGGAGCCTGGAGAGAAGTGACGTGCCTGCCCTGAGCTGAGACCTGTGTCAGAAGTGACACAGCAGGATGTGTGCACTTGGTCAGAGCCCCTCCAGTGGTGGGAGCAAGCAAGAGACAGTGACTCACACAGTTCCTCTGCCTCACACACCTTCTTCTTATCTTTGTGAGACCTAAAACTAAGGGAGACTGTATACCCATTCCCAGCAATAAGCAGGAACTTTATAGAGAATAACTGTGGGGCAGTAGAAAAATTATCCAAAGTTTACTTTGTGCAGTAAAATATTTCAAAACAGAATATTCTGAATGCAGAAATTCTACAGATATTTTGAAATTCCTCCAAATCAGAGAGAGGATTTGTGAATTTGGTGGAGAAGTAAAAGCTTTCTGCTAAGAGTAAAGAGGGAAGACTATGCCTTCCTGACAAACCAGGAGCCACTGCCTTGGTGCCATTTGGATATTTGAAATGGTCACTCACTGAAATGTCCTCAGCTGAAAGACAAAGAGCTGCTGAGATTCAGTTCAGGCTTAAGCCTCCACAGAATTATCACATTATTTCTGGGGTATGATGAACACCTGACAAAATGTAGCAGGAAAGCATAAAACCCTGTGAGAGTCAAGACACAGGTCTTTAGGGAGACAAGACAACCCAGCTCACAGTGAGACCTTCAGATCCACCCTTCCCTTGGTACCACTCAGAGCAATTTCTTTTCATCTGCTGCTGATGGTTGCTTGCCTCTCATTTCCTTCCACTGTGACTGAGATTGTGGATAAGTGATTTTAGGAAAAAGGTTTGCATTGTCAGAACAAAAAAAATTTAAATCCCTGGCATCAATGTAAAACACTAAAAATAGAAGCACTTATCCCAATGATCAACCAGAAAGAACACAATATATTGCATTTAAAAGAAAAGTGATATAAATCTCAACATCCATTTTGCATTATCTGCATTGTCAGTATTGAATAACCTAGTGTCCAACCAAATGTAATTGGTTCAGTGTGCTGTAGAAAGCAAAAGAACATTGGTTATAGAGAAATAAAAACCTTTGGCTTACCTACAACTGCAACTATGTATATCACAGACTGGTAGCTTTCATCATCTATTTTAGCTTCGCAGAAGACCATGCCTGCGTAGTTGATTAAATGACTGGGTATAGTGAAGCCTTTTTTATTATTCCATGAAATGGATTTACCATCAGGAACAAATATCTTTTCTGGATATTTCTGTTTGGAATATTGATAAAACACATAGTCAGAATTCAAAAATGGAATAAATCTGAATTGCCACCTCCAGCATTCTCCACAACTGCAGGGCCCCCATTTCAACATTCTAGCTCAGGGAATTAGTACATGCTTTGAGAGTACAGGTACAGCACTCATCTTGTAATCACAGGCTATAAAACTCACAATGATGGAAAGGAGTTTTTAAGAAATGTATTTTCATTTCAAACAACATATTTATGGCAGAGTGACTTCAACTAACTGTTGAAAAAATAACAGGCTTTTTCCTTACCGCATGTAGAGATACATTGAGATTTGATACGGTTCCAAGGCACGGCACTACCACAGTTTTATTCTTAGTGATGTATACAATGCCAAGCTGATCACTCACTGAAGTCACAAATGGTGATCTGTAATCTAGAATAATATTCAATTGATAAGTGGATATTATTCATCACATGATTATGGAAACTGGAATCCTTTCCAGTTTTGTAATTTCCCTATTTTTTCACAAGTCAGTTGTATTATTTTCCATGTCATAAAGCACTGAAATAATGAGACTAAATAGGGGAGGTACATGTTTTTACAGACACCCCACCCCCCAGATTTAGAATATCATTATTCTCAAAACAGTTATCAGCAGCAGAGTGCACTTTGAGAATGGCTTCCTGCTACAGCAGTCCTTTTGTCGACCAAAAACTGATTTACCCTAGTGTGACTTTCCTTGCATAAGTATTACAGGAAATATCAGTTAAAAATTGTGACATGTTACACTGACTCCCCTGATGGTAGCATCCTTTTCAAAGTCAGACCAAAACACCAAAAAAATAGCTCCATGATATTATAAAACAAGCTAAGTCATGTACTTAATTACATCTCATTGCTCAAAATGGTAACTATAAGTTAACAATAAAGAGGAAACAGGATGCATATGGGAACAAGGCTGAAGCCATCAGTGCAAAAAGGCAGATGCCTCAATGAATGCACTTATTGAAGCTGAGTGTATAACTGGAGTCTTTGCAGTGTCTGCGACACTTAGCTGAAAACTGAGCTCTTACAGCCTACACAGATTTTACCACCAGAGTCAGCAAATGTATGAAAGTTTATGTTTTGGGGTTTGGGTGGCTTTTGGAGTTTTTTTAATGGTATCAGTACAAATCGTACACGGGATCAGATCTGTAATTTCTAATAAATATAAACTTTGTAATCCTCTCTCATATGAAACTCCTGCTGAGGTCAGTAATAGCTCTGCATTCATGAGGACAGGCTCAGAGATCAGCAGAGATACATAAACTAAACTCTGGGTGGAGAACAGCAGACCATGTACTGCATATGGCAGGTCAGTTCAGAATTATAGGTACAAATGCTTTTGTGTTGATGGCAACTAGCATACCTGAATTTAATTACTCAACATGAAAGCAAGAAAAACGTTTCATAGGATCAAATATTCTAAGATTAATACATTTTAGCATCAAAACTGTTTTCAGACACTCTATTCCTTTCTTCTCTTGATGCTAGGGAAAGAGACACCTGAGAGCTGTGTAAGCACTTACCTTGAACATAAACATAAATGGTTGTAGCTGCCTGGTTGTCCCTGTAAAGGCACTTGTAGTCCCCTGTGTCATTGCCAATGACTTTGCTCAGAGTAAGTGTCTTGCAGTAGGGGCCATCACTGCAGTCTGTCACGGAGATACGCCTCTCAGCATTGCTCTGCTTGCTTGGCCACGACCACTCCAGTGGTCTCTGACCTCTGGGAAAGCAAATGTTAGAGCAGCAGACACTTCTGATATGAACCCCAGCCCCACAGTCCCTGGCTATGGAGAGGGATGGGTTTTACCTCGTCACATCGAGAGAGCGTCAAACCATGTAGGACAAATTCACATGCACAGCCTACTGCTAACAGCTACACTGAAGCTACTTGAGATTTACATTCTGCTGAATCTAAGTGACAAAGCCCCCAAAAGAGAGCGTTGAGAGTATGGCTCACCAGCAGGATCCCCAAGGACACAGCTGATGCTTCCTTCCCCAGCCACCCTACACTCCCCAGCTCTCTCTTGCTGCAGCCCTCCCACACAATTTCTGAAACTTGTCAGGGAAAAGTGAGGCAGAAGTCACAAAGGGAGTGGAGAGAAAGCAGGAGGCCTGACAGGAGAGAGATCACATCATGTGTGATTCTGTACAGAAGCTCCCTCCATAAATTACCAATCATCAAAATCACGCTGAACAGACTTGTCCTTACCTGCAAGTAATATTTAGTGTGTTGTTTGCCATTATTGTGAGGACATCTTTTTGGATGCTAAGGGTTGGCTGATCCAGAGACATAAATAAACCTGCAAAAACATGTATGAAACCTCTCTAATAAACCAAATAAACAAGTAAATGCTACTCAATCAGAAAAGTATTATATACAGGAATATTTATCAGGTTTTAAGTGGACACTTTCACATCACCTATTCAGCAGCGAAGGGTAAATCATGATTTTTCACACATCCCAAAAAGTTCAAAAATTCTGTCATAACAGGAAGCAAAGGCAGATGGTCAGGAGCTAGCTGCAGAGCACTACAATTCAGCCAGCCAGGGTGGAGTTCCTGTTTTCTTGCATTGCCAACTTCAAGGTCTAACGAGAGGATGTGGGACATTGAAACGAAGTGAACCTTCATCTGATGATCTCACTCCCTTGGGGATTACCAACTTTTCTTATAATAAACTGAATATATTTCTTTGAGAGTACTGATCAATTAATTATGCAAATAAATTATTTTTACAGTTTGTCACAAATCTGAAATCCCATTAATTTATTTTATGCCATGATTTTATAAGTTTATCTCTTTCCTCCTAAGAAGTTAGGCAAAACTGTGTTACTACAGTTACTACTACGGGCACAGCGGCTTGCATCGCACCCGCCGGCGCCACTGGCGCTTGTGAGGGCTGTGATCTGGGTGCCAGCGCTTGCTCTGAGGCACCAGCCCAGCTTGTGCAACATTTGGGAGTACCACAGGGAAAGATATTCACTCCTCCCTAGCTGCTGCCATCGCCTTCAGGAATCCCGCCTCACCGGGCCGAGCCGTGACAGCCCCGACGGCTTCAACGGGCGGCAAGAGAGCGCGGCCAGACCGGGACATTCCCCGCTTGGCTAGCGCTTCCCCCTGCTTTAATCACTTGCATTCCGAGCAGGTTCTTCTGATGACAGGTTTCCCGCGTTTGGCTCCAGGGACATTTTGCTCTCGGAAACGACAGCTGATGCTGGAGCCAAGCGGGCAGGACACTGTGCCGTGGCAGGCAGCCCTCTCGGACGGGCCAGCACCAGCCGGCCGGACAGGAGAGGCCAAGCGGCCAGGACAGGAGGGGTCAGCAAGCCCGCAGCCGCGGGGGTTCCGAGCCGCCCGGGACTCGCGCTGTCTCAGCAGCCCCACAAACCCATGGGAAAGCCGCACCCGCCCTCCGCCGCACCCGGGCATCCCCACGGCCCCGCTCCTCGGGGTGCCGCGGAGCTGCCGGACCCGGCGGCTCCCCGACAGACCGGACCCGGGTAACGCGGGGCTCCCCGAGGGCTTACCTGGAGCCAGGCACAGCAGGATCGCCAGCAGCCGCGCCGCGCCGAGCTCCATCCCGCGGCCGCCGGGGCTGCGGGGCGCGCAGCGAACCCTCTGCCCGACGGCAGCCGCGCCTCCGCCAGCCCAGCCGAGTCAGGCGAGCCGAACCGAGCCGAGCCGAGCCGCGCCCCGCACCACCCGGCGGGGATGCGGGATCCCGGCGAGCGGTGCCGCCCCTCTTGTGCCCGGGGCGGGGCCCGGGGCCGAGCCCCCGCCCTCCCCAGCACCATCCCGCCCTCCTTCCCGGCCCCAGGGCCCCCTGCGCATCCCGCCGGGATGCTCCCCTTCGGACGGGCAGCGGGAGCTCTCCCTCTTCCCTGCTCGGCGGCAGGAGGGCCTCAGCAGTAAGATTCAGCGTCGTCTGGCACTTCATCGTGCTTTTTTGGGGTTTCTTAAAATCCCCCCAACAGAAAGATCCCAAAGGGCAGCCACATGAGGTACTGTCAGTGAGACACAGCCGTGTTCCTGCTGGCAGCGACTGTACCCCGGGTGTGAAGTGTCTGGCAGCGTCAGGGCTGAGTTCACAGCGTGGAGTCCCCTACCCACGTAGCATGTACCCAGCCACCCTGACTGGCCACATCCCAGCTGGTGGGATCCAACAAGTGCCTGCCACAGCTGCCCTTCCCACCTTTTAATCAAAATTATTAACTAGTGACTGTTAAAGAGAAGCTTGTGAGGTAGTCCTTTGGGAAAAATAAGCACTCGGTGGTCATTAATGTGTTATCCATACACAATGTAAATCCTATGGAGGAGATAGATCAGTACAGAGAGATATAGGTAAACAGGTAGTTTATTGGTAAACTACCAATTGTAATTGGTACATACATGGGTACATAACTATGCATACATATACATATGTGTACCTCTACATGCCACCTTTTCCTTTTTCCCTGCAAATCTGCATGGGAGCCTGTCCACAAATGACTAAGTTAATGAAGCAGTGATTTTATTTTGCATGCAATGCAACTCCAGCTGTTTTACTGAACTGGGGAAAGAGTGTAATTTCCTTTGAAATTACACCCCTGTTGCTCACAGAAAGATACAGGGAATGGGAGAAGCCAAAGTTTTCCTAGAGATCAAATAAAATCCATGAAAAGACAAATAAAACTCATGTGATTCAAGTGGCAGCAAGTCAACACCGTGCAAATAAAAACTGCACTTGCTATTCTTATGAGCTCTTAAACCAGAATACTGGGAGCCCTCATTAATACCCCCACCTCCATCATACTGCGGGTCAGGTCATTGGTATTGCTGAGTGATTTGGGGAACTCTGGCAGTGAGTTCAACTACTGACCTTGCTGAAACTAGGCTGCATGTAAGGTTTCTGTGCTAGGAACAGATACTTAGTGAAAACCAAAGGTACATACTGCTAAAAAAGCCAGTTTTAGTAACTTTATTTGTGGTAATGCTGGTTTTGTTGGGTTTGACTACAAAGAGAAAAAAATTTAATGAGGGTTGGATGACCTGCAAGAAGTGTTTGCCTCAAAAGCAGTTTAGGTAGTCAACAAAGAAAATTAAATTATAGGAGTAAGTTAAAAACTATTTACATGAAATTGGTACAAGATCCATAGAAAACAGTAAAGTCACTGGCAGCTCGCTTTAATTCTTTCTGCATTCCTACATGAGCTTCCAAAATGCAGCTGTAGAAAATGTGCCCCTATATTGATTTTAACAACTTTTCTAAAATTTAGTCAGATGATGTGCAGCTAAAGCTTACTGCAATACCACTTGGGCTCTGTTTTCATGCACAGTCATTGCTGTTAAGTGAGTGGTTTGGAAGGGAGGGCTGCTTTCACTGTTGAAAATTATTGTGGTGCCTGAGCTTTATGGAAACAAATACCTACTGTTTGCCCTAAGCACATCTAAGCCAAGATAGATGAATGCTAGCCCTCTACAGGCCCTTTGGCATTTGCCATGTCCCCCTGCCTCCTTCTGCCCTGCAGCATCCTGAAGAAGGGAGGCAGAGAGAGGGGCTGACCCTTCAAACACGCAAACCTGGCGAGTGCACACATCGAGCTGAGCAGCTGGCAGCAGGGAGCTCGCACGTTGTGACCGTAGTTCATCCACAGAGAACTCTGCATTTCAAAAGCACAAATTGTTTTTATCTCCCTGAGTGATCCCAGTGAGATCTCAGTTTTTGCACTGTGCTTCCTAAATGGGACACAATCCTTCAGCACTTTGCCTGGCTGTCAGTATGATCTTGGTAACTAGAATAATTTTGCAGGAGCTGCTGCTTCAGTGCATGAATTGCCATCCCTGTAGTACCAGGGACATTTGTGATACCAATGAGAACAAGAAGGCAACTTCATTGAATGGGGACCTAACCCTGTAAACATTTTAGCACAAAAGTAACTTTATTCTGAAGAGTCAGTCAACAGATGTAGGATTTTCATCTGATTCAAATTACTTATATAATGTTGGTGAGACTAATCCCCAAGGAAGATTAAATAAAAACTAGAGCCAAATATCATTGAAAATGGTAGATGTTTGGGGAAAGTGAGAATTGGAAAAGATGTGAGGTGACTTTACCAGTACATGGTATATGAAGTCATATGTACTTTTCTAAACTGATTTTTCTATTTTGAGTTTCAGTGCAGCTTTTGCAAGTGGATTTTCACTGGAAGATGCCATGGGGAACCTCTGAGAGAAAAATCAACCAGAGCACAGGAGAAAGACAGTCACCTAAAATCCAGGTGAAAGATTCATGTAGATATATTGTTGCTGTGATAGCTATGGGACACAGATGTCTGGTTACAAAATTAAAACCCCAGTGGTTTAAGGGATGGCAGCTCTCTCATCCAGCTGTTTAGGCTGTGATCTCTGCACAGCCTTTGTGTCATCCTTCAGACTTGTAGAGTACCTAGTGTAGTCCAGATTGCACCAGAGACTATCAGTGCTGAACCACAGGGGTCTAGTGAGAAAAGCCAAACGACATATGAATGTAGTTCAGTGAGTACAGGATGGGATTTCCTCCCTCTCCAGAAACAGTGTGAATATGGAGAACTTCCTGGGATCTAAATCCAGCCTGCAATGGCTTCTTCTAAAGATACTCTACCCTCTGCCTCTGCATTCTCACCTGCCTCAAATAACAGGAAAACCCATCAAGACTTTTTAAATCTGTCTTACTTCAAAAAGGTGCCTCTGCCTTGGCCAGACAATAGCAGCAAAGAAACGTGGGGCTAGAAATGTGGTGCATGAAACTTCAGCCTCCCTGCCGCACTGAGCAGATCTCAGCTCAGCATGAGACCAGAGCTGGGGAGCTGTGGAAGGCTGGTGGCTGACAGACAGAATGCAATCAGACCCTGTGCATCGCTCCGTGCTCCAGCAGATTGACTGCCAGCTCACACAGCACCTCCCAGAGCCCCTGGGAGAGCAGTTTCCATTCTGAAATCAGTGTGTTCTCAGTGTCTGGGCTCATCAGCCCCTTTCTGCTGCCGCCTGCACCCAGGGGAAGCTCCGTGTCCATGAACGGTCCGGGAATGGTCTGGGCCATGGGAGGGGGCACCGAGCCTTGCCTTGGCCAAGCAGGGCCTTTGTTTGTGCCTCTGCTCCTCTGATCGCCAAAAGCTCATTAAAAACAGGACACAAAGGAGCAGCAGAGGAACCGGACAAGCCCTCTCACGTCTCCTCCCCGACCTGTCACGACTCCGCCAGGCTCTCTGGCTCTGTCACGGCTTCCCGGGCAGCCCTGCCGAGGAGTCCGGCTGGAGGCCAGAGCAGCAGCAGCCAAGCGGCCCTTTGTTTGCTTAATTATTCAAATAACAACCCGGGGGGAGATAAGGGCTGGCCCTGGCAGCACCGATTATGTGCTTTCCCGCTCCTGTAGCTCAGCAAGTTTAGCAGGGGTCAGCATCCCATGCAGAACACATCTGGAATGCGGCAGCCAGCAGCTGTACCGCCTCCCGGGCACACCTCTGTGCTCAGCCGGCTGCGAGCGCCTCGGCATCTCACGCAGGAGAGGATGCTCCCTTCAGCTCTGTCTGCATTGCAGACTGCACCACTGCAGCAGCCTGCAGCCCTGGCCCTAGTGTGGCTCTCAGCAGGAATGCATCCTCAGCGCACTGATGAACTTTGATGAGGCAGACACGAAGTACCTACAAGATGCCGCTTCAAGAAAATGAGATGGCATTCATGCAAATGGCATGCAAGATCAGAAATACATTTGCCACAACATATACTTCATGTGCAGACCCCACAAAACCTGTTGGTTTGCAAGAAACATTGCAAAGGACAAAATCTAACTTTCCAGATAGAAATTAAATCATAAATTGTCTCAGGTAAGAACAGATGTGGAACTAGGAATGAGATGGTGTAAACCCACTAATTTTCAGACAGAGTTGCCTAAAGGTCGAGGTGTGAATGCTTCTATTTTCAGAGTATGCCAAAAACATTGGTGTCTGTTGGAATCTAGGGATATGTGCTTTGTATTTGGCTTTGTCCTTCTACAAACAGGAGGTGTGAGTTTGGTGTGCATGGACATCCCCAAAGCAGCTTTATTGTAGCTTGGCTGGGTGCTGATGGTAACAAAACTGGAGGAGCATGTTCATTGCTGTCAAGCCCCAGACTAATCTGAAGTGTCTTGGATGTGTCTCTCTGCTCCTAGGCATGTAATTATGGTTCCAGGCATGTGGAATTTTAGGGATGCACCTTTGAAAAACTCATTTTATATAATTGTCTATTTACTTGTCCCTATTGTGTCCTAAAACTCTGCATAATTACTCCTGCCAGGACAACAGGTCCTACCTACCCTCCATTCAAGGAGCTGTTCCTTTCTTTACCCTACCTAGTTGTTTTTTTCACACCAAACTATTTGCAGGGCAAGGGCTCTGTGAAGAAGGGACAAATGCCTTTGTTGTTTATGTGGCTGAAATCTATGTATTCCCTGCTGCTTGCAGCAGGAAGCAGCTCTGAAGCATCACTTTCTGAGCAGGAAGCAGAGGGTGACCAGGGGCCCCTGGTCAGTTTGGCTAATGGATGGGCAACTGGTGACAGGGATAAGCTACAGGTTCCTACACAGAAGTGGCATGCAATATTTTTTTTTCCTTGTTGTTGTTTTTTTGGGGTTTTTTTCATTCTTTTATTCCCCTTGACTTTTCTTTTTTCTTTTTTGGGGCTCAAAGTTACAAGTCTCTGA